CTCTGAGAGCTTGTCGCAAAAGTGTGCAACTCCCCTAGTATTTGCTGTTGCTTGTCTCATTTCTATCCAAAAAATAAGCACTGTTGAGACAATACGGCGCTTGGTTCCGCTCACTGCTCGAAAAGTTTTTTTTACTCAAAGTAATTGCTGGGGCGTCAAGCTTTATTCAGAAGTTTTTTTACGTCTTAGCTTTTGCAGTAATGCCCCCAAAATTAGTAAGACAGCACGGAGAATTGGCATAAGAATCTGACCTTTGTTCTGTTATTAGGATGCAGAGCACACGCTTACGCCAAGCGAATGGGTTAGAATCCTCGGACATCAGCTATATGGTTTTGGCTGATACTCACTGCTTTTTCAATGTATATGCTCAACCTCTTTGAAAGCCACCCAAGTGGTCATTTACTTTTTCTTGCGGTTACTGATGCGCGATGTCTAGTAGTTATTAGCGAAGCAAACAGCACAGAATATACTTTTTTGCGTAATTGTAACAAAATCCCGTATGCCGTTCATTTGACGAATGCAGCCCCAAAGACATATGCTTTTTCCATTCATTTGTTAGAGATTTAGACGGGGCGTTTCAAGAGGAAGCAGTGCCAGTTAGCATGCAGAACGAAGCATAATGCGTATAAGCTTAAAAAGCAAATCAGCTGGGAGCATGCTCACGGAACTGGCAGGAAATCGCTCAGAAAGATCAGCATTTCAGAAGTAGCTTCCTTTGAGATAAAAACTTTGTGAAGTGGGAACACTGTTTGGTGAATAACTTATTCTGACTTGCTTCATGAGGGCTCTCGCTTGTGCTCACACTTCCGAAATCCTCACTTTCCTCCGTAAACGCGCCCATTTTGTTATCATAATAAGTTGACGCCGAACCATTACTTGGAGCATTATGCACAGCCTGTAATGTCAACAAATTTGACTTTGAAAAACCACAAAATCATGAAAGTTATATTCATACATTCGCAGTGAACATGTTTGTAGTTATTCACTTTTTCCAGCAGTTTTCCAAAACATGTGATCACTTTCCAGTTCGGCCTCAAAATT